GAGTTGGTTTTTGCCTTGTGGAAATTTTCCGGCACCTCCACATCCACACCCTTGATGTGCCGGAAATTCCACAAGACTTTCAAGGGCTTCGGGTTCTTCGTTTGACCGAAGACCCTTTCCGCCTGCTCCCGGGATACGCGGCAGACGTCTTCCCCCTTTGAGATATGGTGGCTTGATTTTTTTTTTTTTTTTTCTGTGACAGCTTGCGAATCTGGGCTCCTTACCCTTTTCTTTTGTGGAGACTGGATAGGAGTTGAGATGGGTGTGCTGTTTGGAGTGGTGGAGGTGTCATGCCCGAAGGCGTCCTCACAGGTGAAGGTTTTGATGAGTAAAAGATTTCGTCGGAGAGTTCGACAGAGATTTAGGTGGAGGAGGTTTCACAAAAGGTTTTTTTTGGATGAAGTAGGGGAAGACGGGGCAGAGAATAGAGGGGCCGGGCCCCCAGCGATTTTTGGTTTTTATCCCGCTTAGCATCCAACTGTTCTTTCAATTTTTTAAATCTAGGATCTTTTTCCAGCTCGGCTCATTAGCTTTTTGGGTATCGCTGGCGTTTTTTTCATAGGACGCCGAGGCGTCGCCCTCAGAGCTGACAGAGGGAATGGGGCTGTAGGTGACTTTGTCCCTGGTGTCATGTTGGGACTGAGGAACCGCTGTTTGGGTCTTCCTTGCCCCTAACTACGAGGCGCCATTCCCCTCGTCCTTCTCCTTATCCACACTTGTGGCAGGCGTTGGTCTCGGGGGTAATGAGGGTTGGGAGCCAACCGAGGGACTTTGCCCATCGGTCCGCCTCGCAGCTAGGCCCATTACAGGCGCCGCGGATTTTCCTTTATCGGCCAAGGGGGGATTTTGGTCACCTGCGACCGGAACTCCAGGGGCCTTCTTCCCTGGGCAGGAGGAGGAAAGGTGACCAGTCTCTCCACACCTCCAGCAAGTCGGACGCCTACCAGTCACTATGACCGGCATTTTCCGGTCGCCTAACACCAAACAGTTGGGGACGGACTTGAAGGCGTTCTGGTCAAGCATAATATCGAAAGTCCATCCCCCGTTCAAATTGTCGGAGAGAGCCCCTAAAATTTGGCCGTATTGCATAAAAAATGCAGCCAGGAGCTCTCCCGAAATTTGAGGAGGAACCTCGAAAACGGCCACCCTGGTCCGCCTGCGGCCTTCATATTCGGTTCTTATTATAAAATCCTTCGTGATTAATTCTTTTTTGGCCATGGCCAGGCAATCTTCCGGTGTGGGCAGCAGAATGTCCCACATGAAAAAACCCGTACCCTTAATAACTCTTTGGGGTTTTATCCCCAGGGACAAAAGTGATTTGATCACAGTGTCTTTTGTGGAGCGACAAATCTTTCAGGTTTTCTTGTCGACCACAAAACGGTCACCATTCTCTTTGAGAACATATCGAGCTCCCGGACATCATCGACGAACCCATCTTTATTAACAAGATGGGCGTAACTTTTCGCCTTATCCAGGAAATCCGCCATGTTCAAAATACAACTAGGGGGGACTTCCAGCAAGAGGGCAACTCCTCTTTCGTCTTATTTTGCGCCTCTTTAGGCACTTGGTCTGGTTTAGAAGCATCTCCTTTTTGGAGATGCTCTTGTCTGTTTTTGGGCTTCCATCAGCCCGCTTTTCAGTTTTCTTTCAGAGTGGTCGGCTTTATTTGCCGAACCAAACAGGTCTTTTTTTCACATTGGCCTGACTATTGCCGTCGGCCATGTTGTAAAAAAAATGGACACTACCACCTGCGGGTTTTCAAATTCTTCACAATCACGGGGAGAGGAGTTGAGGAAAATATAAAAATATAAAATAAATAAAGAAAGCCTGGATAACCAGGAAATATAAAAATAAACAGAAAAAAAAACCGAAAGAAAATAAACAGGTAAGTCTTTTTAAAAACAAAAAAAAAAAAAAAAATGGCGCCCGAAGGCAGCCGAAAATAAAAGAAAAAAACCAAAAACTTCCTCTTTTTCACAAAAACTTTCAAATGTACTAAAAAAAAAAGAATAAAAAAAGATAAAGTTTTGCGGCTGACGCCGCTAAAGAAAAATGAATTAAAAAAAAAAAAATAAACTAGTCAAACGTAAACAAAAAAGGAGAAAGAAAGCGACTGAAGTCGCTAAAAAAAAAATAAAAAATTAAACAAAAAGGTTCTTTTTCTTTTTTCTTTTGTCTAAACTGTTCCGCTTTTTTTTTTTTTTAACTGATAGAAAAATAAACAAAAATAAAAAAGCAGTCGTCCGGTAAGACTTTGTCAAACCGGACTAAAAAAGGAAAAAATGTGGGCCGAAGCCCAAAAACAAATTAAAAACAAACAAAAGAAATAGAAAAAATTAAAAAAGAATGAAACTAAAACAATAACTTATCAGCCAAACGTCCGGTGTTTCAAAAAAAAAGGTTCTTCCAAGTCGTCAAGCAAATCAAAATTTTTCGCCGACCAGCAGTAACAGCAGTACACAAAAAAAATCCAAAAGCAAACAAAACAGAAGTCAAAAACCAGTCCAAACCTGATCCTTCACACTACATCCCTACTCTCTCTAGCACTGACTTATATCGTAGAGGGATAAGTCCATTATCAGTCAGAATCGTAATTGCAGTACGTGACGTCACACATGACCACGCGGGAGTGAAAACGAGAAGAATTAAGTATGGGAAGCCATTGGCTTCTGTTGTCATTTACAGGCATTTAAGAATAGTTGTGGAGATTTCATACTTTATTTTGTTCATGTTAAGTTTCAACTGTTTTATGTATATAACTTCAAGAAATTTAGTTTTTCTTTACTGTTTTCATGTTGAAGTATATATGTGTTTTCGACGAGGATTTCCCGGAATTGTGTATGCAGCCAGGCATGTTGTTTTAAATGCCTAAACATGAGTTATCAGTCAAGCGTCGTGAAAGCAAGTTTGTGGTGTGACCAACATAAATATTATTTAATCCATTGGAGATGCAATCTCCCAAAGAGCACTTGAATTTGTAAACTATTTTGGTTTTTGTAAATCGCTCACGGGGGTGGGGAAAATCATTGTGAATAACTGAGTTGGATTTACTAGATTTAGTGTAGTAAATACACACACCCACACACACACACACACACACACACACACACATATATATATATATATATATATATATATATATATATATTGTGTGTATTTACTACAGGCTGTCCATAAAGTTCGTGTGCACTTTACAAAGTTTATAACTTTATTTGTATTTGCGATAGAAATAATTTGTAAAAAGGATTAGACAGAAGTAAATCTATATATTTTTTAAGGTTTTATTGTAATTTTATTTAAGTTTGCACATATCCGCCATCATTAGTAATACAAAGTGTAAAACGGTTTTTCAGTTCACTGAAAACATTTGCTAACTGATTTACAGTAATGCCTGAAATCACATTAGTTAATTTAGCTATACTTAAAACTAGGTACATTAAACTTTATAACATTTTTTACAGATTATTTCTATCGCAAATACAAATAAAGTTATTTTTTTTTTAAAAGTGCACACGAACTTTATGGACACCCTGTATATTCCCCAGTTTCTGTTCTGTGCATTTATATAACCTTATTAAGTAGCTTTCTCAATTTTCTCTCAACCCATTTTCCTTTTTCTCTGTTCTCTTAGTGTTTAATTCTCCACGCCCTCCTTTCAATGCCCTTTTGTTTACCTTTTCCTTAAAACGTCATCGTCCTTTGTATTCTGAAGATTCATCAGTAGAAACACGTCTCTGTTGTTTTGTCTCGTTTTCATCTGCAAGGAAATTACCCAGCATTCAATTCCATATTCGCGATTTGATTTCACATCGCAAATTAGCATTCTTTTCTTTGTTTCTAGTGAAATGATCCTGCTTCGTAATTTATATTTTTTATTAGATTTTGCATCGCATACTTCCCTGTTTCAATATATTATCGGATATTAATTGCTTAAGCATTAATTTGATTATTTTATGCCCAATTTTAATCAAGCGCTAACGAAGAGATGCAACATCACAATGCAAATAATGGTGTGCATATAACTGAATAAAATGTAAATGTATTTTTAAAGAATAAAATTTATAAACAAAAAACATGAATTTCCAATTTATTTTTCAATAAATATAAACGACTATAAAGATGTTGGGGTTAGTCTCATAAAAGACTAAATTGAAAAACCAACTTACTAAATAAGTGAATGGTCTACTGACACTTAGCTATCTCAGGTGATCTTGCTGGCATTGGTACTACAGATAAATTAGAACTAAAATCGCAATATCCTCTTCTGTGATTTCATTTTTATGAGTCAAGATTTTTTTGTAAACGCGGTGATGACCATGGCTTTCCACAACGTACTCTCTTTTATTGCTCTAAGTGTGTTTTTTTTTATTCTTAATTTATCATTATTCGTTCACACCTTTCAGCCATTAAGTAAATTAATCGCTGTTGCCCCATTGTTCTAGTATTTTGTGTACATCCTGTGAGTGTTAACTTCTCTAAGTCCTCTTTCCTCATGTGTGTCAGAATTTTCAGCCATCACGTTCAGATTGTAAGTGAAAGTTTATTTGATTCGCATATGTTCCCGCCATGCTATTCTCCGCATTCGTCGATGGAACTTCATGTAAGTCACTCTTATTCGTCTGTGAAGAAAATACCCGACATACATTGCTATCTAGGTGACTAGATATTGCATGTCGTTAATAACTCTTTTATTGGTTTCAAAACCTTATTTCCACATCGGTATTTCGTAGTCCTAGGCACATCATGTATCTTTCGATAAAAGACTGACGAGGCAGATTTTTTTTCGCAGTAGATAGCCATTTGTTTCTGCGGTAGACTAGTTGCCATCCAAGGCTATAGAACATGGACTGTCCTGCTATTTACCCATAGTTGGGGGAGAAGAAGAGGATTCATACCTTTCCCAAGGTTATTAGCATGTAAGAGAATGTAATGAATTAGACTGGAATTCGAAATCGGCTCTCCGGTTCCTCAATCCGCGCCGTTTACTCCACCATGCCTCTTTATGACGAAATAGATAAATAAATAGATAGATACGAACAGATAGATAGATAGATAGAAGCAGATAGATAGAGAGATGAATATGACGAGATAGATAAATAGATATATATGAACAGATAGATAGATAGATATGACGAGATAGATATATATGAGCAGATAGATATAAGCAGATAGATAGATAGATAGATATGACGAGATAGATATATATGAGCAAATAGATATAAGCAGATAGATAGATAGATAGATAGATAGATAGATAGATAGATAGATATATATGACGAGATAGGTATATATGAGCAGTTAGATATAAGCAGATACATTGATAGATAGATAGATAGATATGATGAGATAGATATGAACATAGAAAGATAGATAGAGAGAGAGATAGAGAGAGAGTGAGAGAGATGAGCAGTTAGATATAGAGATAGATAAGTATGACAAGATAAATAAATGGATGGATATGAACAAGATAGATAGATAGATAGATAGACGAAACGTAGACAATCACATATAAAATGAGATAGATAGATAGATAGATAGATAGATAGATAGATAGATAGATAGATAGATAGACAGATAGACTTGCCTATTGTCACTTTTCAGCCTTGACTGACTTCAAAAGCCTCTACGCGGCCTTATGGGTGATAAAATATTTCCCACACTATAACCCTCTTCTCACTGACAAAAATTTGCTAGCATATCGCTGCTCTATTTTCATGGAAAATCTTCATATGAGCTATATTCTTTAGTTCCACTAGTTCAGACCTTTTTTTCGTCCTTCAACAACCTCATTCATGTTGGGTAAATATTTGGGCTTAATTGGGTGAACTAAAGTATAGCAAAAAGACAGGCTTATAAATAGACAAACAGATGGGTAGATAGATAGATGCGAAAACAATTATACATTGTTAATAAATTACCGTATTTTTTCTTGTATAAACCACACATTTTACATTAAAGTTTAATGTCAAAATTTGGTTGCGACACACACAACAGAGTTATTATTGTCCTTTTTTTATTCTAGATTTTATCTGGATGAGAATTTCATGAACGTTTTTTACAAAATTTATGTAATATATATATATATATATATATATATATATATATATATATATATATATATAAAAAAGAAAATGATGAGTATATTTATGAACAGGAGCCCCCTTCTCGCGTTCCCTCTCTCTTTCTCTTTTTTCTCTCTCTCTCTCTCTTTATATCTATCTATCTCTCTCTCTCTCTCTCTCTCTCTCTCTCTCTCTCTATATATATATATATATATATATATATATATATATATATGCTCGTCCTCCTCAACCCTAGACTGACTGTCTTAGTATGGGGTTTTCAATTTAGTTTAGATAAGAGTCGGTGAAAATGTAGGGTCTACTTAAGAGGAAGCCACGTTTTTGATAAGGAGTCTGGTTTGGTGACAAGGAGATTGGCCGAAGTGGGATTATATTATTAAGTGATGGCGGATTAAAAGATACGATAATTGTAAGTGGAATAAATTATCTAAATAATAAATTCCCAAATTCTGTACTTCATATATATATATATATATATATATATATATATATATATTACATGAATCTTTCATACAAAAAACAAATATAGAGGTTAATGATTTAAATGGCGAGAATACATCTTCGCAAACAATTTCAATAAGTTACTATTGAATATTACACTATATTTGTTTTTGTATGAATGATTCATGTAATTATAAGTTGAACCACCTATAACTATAATATATAAATATATATATATATATATATATATATATATATATATATATATATATATATATATATATATATATATATATATCGGGGGTGGTATTTAAGCAAGAATGCGATTCCTTTGAATATGTTATATTTTTAATCAGTAAACCTCTACAAATGGAATAAAGCCACTAATACACAAAAAGTTGGTTTGCGAAAGAAGGTAAGAAAAAGAAAAAAAACAAACAATAGTAAGGAGAGAGAACAATAAGAGAATAGACAGATTATGATATATATATATATATATAGAGAGAGAGAGAGAGATAGATAGATAGATAGATAGATATAAAGAGAGAGAGAAAAAAGAGAAAGAGAGAGGGAACGCGAGAAGGGGCTCCTGTTCAT